GATCTGGCGTGTCCGGGCCGCCTGCGACAAGTGTAGCTGCGTGCTCGGGTGCAAAGAAAGGACAAGTTTAGGGCTTCGAGGTTGTAGGGTTTAGGGTGGGGCTGACAACGCCCTGAGAGCTACAGAGCTTAGGGTTTCTACCTAGTCCGACAACAGTCGTGGCCCTACTACGACAAGCTCTCCACACATGATACGCGTACTTCACTGCCTAAACCCTAAACCCTAACCGGTACCTCAAAGCCTATAAATCCTAAGTCCCAAAAACCCGATTATGAACCCCAAAACCCTACACCCTAACCTCGAAGCCTAAAGTCCTAAAGGCTCGGCTCAGGCACCTCGCGGCGTGACCACACAGCCTCATTGTCCTCCTGGTCCTCACAGTTCAGCAGTTACACGCTGTTGTTATTGTTCTTATTATATTCATATCACTAGTACTAGTATTACAAGTATTCTTATCGCTGTTACTGTTGTCTTTTTTTATTATTCAAAGTATTATGATCATCATTACATATATGTTATAATTATAGGAGCCTCAATGATTACCAATAGTGTTCTTTGGGGCTTCTTATTGTGATACTGTCGCCCAGAACCATGATAATCAGGCCTCTCGTCTTCAGGGCCAGCTTCAACCCAGAGACTCCAATATCCCTTCATTATGGAATATACCTTAAATCATATTAGGGATCCTCCTATAATTTAAGGTATAATTCCTTAATTAAGGGGTATTCGAGTCTCTGGGAAGGCTGCGGAGCTTCGGGCTCTGAAACTTCGAGCTGTGGCGCTTAGGGTGGAGCTGAGGCCGCATGAGGCATCGCAGGTTCGGATTTCAGAGCTGAGCGGGTTTAGACTTTAGGGTTCAGGGTTTAGGGTGTAGGGCTTAGGTTTTGGGGTTTAGGGTTCGGAGCATGTGCTGCCGGAGCTTTCAAAGCTTTGGAGCATGTGTTTAGCCTCGGAGTCTGAGTAATTACGTAACCTTGTTAAGAGGGATCGCAGCGAGACCTGGAAACGCATATGACCTCCATAATCCGAAAGCACTGCGTTGCACAGTACAGCTAACATGCAGGCGAACACCCACGCCGAACCTCATCTGCAACAGTTTCTGCACAATGCGACGAACACTCCAGTATCTGAGCCGGCCTCCTCTAGCATTTCATTTGGCTGGATCTCACGACTCGGCATTGAAACCTTGGTGTTCGCATGCAGCGGTGTTTGGGAGCTAGGCCTGCCTTTGTACTCCTGGTTGAGGGTTTCAGGATTGAGGGTCGGGGTTTCAAGGTGCATGGTTTCAGACTTTACATACTAGGACTGCAGGGTCTTAGGATCACACAAGTCCATATTAGGCCGCGCGCTTTTCTGCAGGTTTTGTGGCTTCGGTGCTACGATAGGACTTTGCTTTGCTTTC